ATATTTGTATACCTATGTAGCTTCAGTTATACTCACACATATTCATACACTCACACACACACACACTCTCTGTAGCCTTGCTCATAATATGAGTATGCGGTAGTCCGACGATTATTGTTGGTTTTTTTTTTTTTTTGGTTTTCCAAGGTTTTCCAGTCTGATCGCTATGCGATTCAAGGCTCCTTTTATTTTTCGTTTTGTTTATTTCAGCTGTGACTTGGCTCGATGAGCACTTGGTAAGCCTTCTGTTGGCCTGGCCAAAATAGAACAGCAACGGTTTCTAAATAGTTGCAGCCACTCGTGCGCTCTCTAGACTCTATCTATGCCACAAATGCGAGCTGGCAAATACTCAGCAAACACCTGCTCACATTGCTGGCACTGGACGCGTCTCGCTTCTAGTTGCCGCCCTGCAAAGTAAATAGTTTTTGTTTACGCAAATTTACGCAAAGTGCGGCCCGGCTAGACGAGCGCCGGCGTACATCATGGCGTATGTGATTAGTTTTTTCGTACTATTTGGAACCGGCGCACAGCTTGTGCGTGCAGGCAGTTCGACGTCTGTCTGTCTGTGGGCAGCATGAAATTTTTATGTTGATATGAATACAAAAACAACAGCAGCAACAACAACAACAGCAGCGACAACAACACGTACCGCGTACAGAGCCCGCGAGTGCCATAAAAATCAACGTGAAACAACAATTAGCATTCAAGGTTAACCAGAAATGAGCTGACAGACGCGTCGCGATGCGATGAAACAACGACCTGGCAACAGTTCCCCACTTGGGGACAATCCAACAACACGCAACAAGCCAAGCCAAGCAATTGTCTTTGCCCGATCAGCAACCGGTTCCTGTCCCACCTGAACTACATACAGACAGACATTATGTAGCTTAATCTTCTTAATGTCAGCCCCGACCCTAGTCTAGAAAGACATGGCTACACAATCAATACGAAATACTATATATTTAATATTATATATTATATATAATATTTTGCTGACTTTATTTTACTGATTTTAA